TACTTGGTAAACTGCACTGTTTTTTGAGGAGAATGAAGGTGAAAGCAGCTGATCAAGTAATTAAAACCAGATAAAGTCCTGGAAGCAAGACAAAAATGTTACTCTTGCAATTAGACTGCCATCTCTGTCTCAACTCCTCCCCTTCCCAGCAAAGCTAAAAGCAGAGGACTTGGCTGGTACCACTGCTGCCTAGGGCTGTGTGTTGGCATATGCATATGTTTAGGAAGATCTAGTGGTTTAAGCTTGTATTTGGCTTCTAGCCAGACACAAGTAAAAATTCTTGAGAAGATCACTGCATGGGGTTGTTACAGGGAGAGTAATTTCTAGATTTGTCTTTCCTCTCATGGACAAAATCTCTTTGCAATATCTTACTCCCTTAAAGGATCATGTCTTTTCCACCATACGACCTGGCAGATTTCTCCCAAGGGCAGGTGTCCTGCCTTTTGTTTCTCACCTGCTTCGTTTTGTGGGACTCTTAACTCATCAGTTCCTCCACTTATGGCAGATGAGCTCATTCTCTTTACTTGAAAAACTACTGTCACGGCTTTTTTTCCCCCACGCTGTCTTTTACTCCTGGTATGTCCTTTTTCAGCTGTACCATCAACCTCCTGGCGCTCAAATACCCTCCTACAGTGTGCTCTCATTACGGGGCAAATGCTCTGCTCCTTCTCGCACACATCCCCTCTGAAATCTCATCACTTGGCCATTGTGTTTACCCTGGTACTACTTACTACCCAGGTGTCTTATTTACTTAAAATGCCCTGACACTGCTCTTTGAATGTTTGTTCCGCTTCGTGTACTATTTTTATATTGAAGCCAGAATACCCTCTTCACACCCCAGAGGAAAGAGTAGAGACGAGTGAAAAGCGCAGACTCCCAGCAGCAAATCTGCTGCCTCCACAGTGAGGATGGAAATGCCTGTGGTCCTGGACATGGTGCCTTTAGTGTGCTGTGGGGAGTATGTCAAAAGCAAGTTAGAGCAGACTGAAAGATGCTTTAAATTATGCCTGAGCAGCAGAGGTCCAAGCTTTGGAAGGAGTCGCCTTCATCTCTTGCTGGTGCCTTCCGGCCTTTCAGCTGTGCTGAGTAGAGCTGTGGTGTGGTTGCATCTGCCCGCAATGCCACGATGGTTTCCTGTTTCATCCTTTCAAAATATTATCCATCAAGTTGTCATCACCATCAGTATCCGGAGCACCTTGCTGACCCGGTCTGCACACTGGGTCCCGCTTTGACATTGCACTTACGCCCATCTTGGGGTGCTTTGTGGGGAGAGGTGGGATCATTCAGTAGTTGGATCTTCAAGGCATATTTGAGTGTTTTGAGTTGGAGTCCGGAACTGTTGCCTTCAAAACATGGTTGTAAAAGAAAATGGGATTTGTAGGTTACCCCAACACCTCGATGAAAACTTTTAAACCTTAAAATGTTTAATTTGGCATTCCTAGCTTCAGAATGACTAAAAAAATACTTCTATTTTTCTTTTTTCCTTCCTAAACATTAGTAAAGAGAAAAGTTTCTTTTCTTGGCAGAAAACTTTCAGGGCAAAATATTGGTTTTTGAGTAGGGGATTCTAATGGAAAAGCTGAGCACCAAATTCACACAAGGTTCTTCTTAATTATAGAAGCCAAAAGCTCTTCCAGATGTCTGTCAGCCCAATATGCTAGATGCTGCCATCACTGGTTTTAATAAAACTCATATTCAGCAAACTTTATTACTGATTTACTGTACGTTTATTTAAGCCAGAAAATATTTTTTCTCTAAAAAAGCAAGCAGGCAAAGATAAGATATTTTCATCAGTTGCAGCTCAGCATGTCACCTACTATGTTAAATATCATCCTGGTTCCATTATTTTACTGAAGATTTTCTGTAGATTGCCATAATTAAAACTGGAATTTCAGAAACTCTTGTGAAGGAGTCGATAAGCAAGAAGTGCACATGAACAAATTGGTAAATGGTGCGTGCAAAACAGGCAAAGCTATTAACAACGCAAAGAGTACGTGACATGCACAACCAGACAGGCATTTCTGTGAAGTGTTACCTGTTTGTACATGCAACTAATACACACTCTAAAGAAAAATAGAAGCCAAAACCCCCCGAAAATGTTATAGAACGAGTCCAGGGAAGTGTGATGTGACTTTGTGAATATGAAAGTGAACAGAACAAAACCAGCACAAAAATCATCGGTCAGAGAGTAGCTAATTAAATCTCTGAACAACAATGTAATTGAAGTGCATTAATCATTATAAAAGATCATTTTCCTTTAAACATCTGCTCCCATTCACTTGGCAACAGTCTAGGCAGTATCGTTAATGATGGGGTTTTGGATTATGCTGAAGGGCACGTGTTATCTGAGAAACAATGTAGAACATCCCCGGCTTGACAGGATCTGGGACAGCAGTGCTTTTCCTCAATCCAGGTATAGCATTGAGAAATAAAGGGGAAAAAATCAGACATTGCTTACAGTGGAAAGGAAAACCTGGTATAAAACTGAACCCTGCCTTCTCAGCCACACAAAGAAAGGTTAATTGGGTGCCAATGGATTTGAGTGAAGTAATGGCTCTGGGAAAAGACCCCCTGCCCAGCCTGCTACTTTTAAGACACCCCTAGGAGCCATAGTTGCTTGTAGGAGAGACCTTGTACCTCCCCACTGGGAAGTAAGCACCACCGAATTCTTCCTGACCCCTTACTCTGCAGCAGCCTGGCTATGCCAGTCAAAGAGTGAGATTAGCTCTCTCAGGAGAAAAAAAATCTCTTTTCCCTCTGACACAAGTAAAGCATGTGGAAGGGCCATGACCAGCCCTTACCGCCTGGCAGCCTGTAGACCGAGGTCTCTGCCTGCCTTCCCTGGGCCTGAGGCTGCCTGAGAGCTGGACACCCATGTGTTGTCTGCAGGTCCTGGTTTGGAGCATGGCTTTCTCCAGTGCTGTTAGGACTGAGTAAAGTTTCTCATGAGATATGTTTTCTTTAGAGTTAGCTCAGGAGTCCTGCATTGCCCTTTTGACTCTGCCATTTGACTGAGTCACTTAGGGATGAATTTTTACAGTTGGGGACTCTTTTTTTGTATCTGACTTCTCATTGCATTTTCATGTGGTTGGTACCATGGACCCTGGTTGTGGCCCCAGTCGGTGGCCTCTGTGCATCTGCATTTTGACTTCTGTATTGCTGTCTCTAGTGTCTGTATCTAAGGCAGGGAGGGGGAGCCAATTGTGCTGGTCTTACAGGGGCACATCCGAAGGTGCAGGCGTTTGAGGTCCACCAGCAACACAGATCCTCCAGCTGCAAAGCAACACTGATTTTTATGCTGGTCTTGTTTTCTTAGCAAACTTCTAACATGGAGCAGTTAAGGAGTGTGGAACTCACGAGTGTTGGATTCAGAGTACTGTATTTCTACCCCATGGCTTTAGTCACTGCTGACTTTAGCTCTCCTTCATGGCACATAATCAGGAAGCCTTTGCCAGCCTCTGGACTCCTGGGGGTGAAAATGCATGTGTCCACATGGATTTGCAAGGGAGGAGGACTAGAGGAGCCTAGATCTTATTTGGGAAAGGAGGGCTGTGGTTGTGGACTCTGTTCCTGGTTATGCTGCTTCGTATCGATTTTTTTGCAGTTCTGCAAGTTCACAGAGGATGGATGCTTCTTCTGCCTGGGCAGAGTGTCTTCCCAGCTGTTAGGTGGGGAAAGTGAAAATGAACTCAGCTTTGGTCTTTGCTGTACAATTACAGGTGAAATACTTCATCTGGTTTGTGCCCGTTCATAACAATACTTCCCTCCCTCACAGGGACTTGCAGTCTTTGTAAAAGTGATTGGAGAGGTTTGGATAAAAAGCATGTGGTTTATTGTTCTCTGTTTCTCAAAGCTGATGAAGTCATACAGTGGTATTTAAACAGAAAATCAAAGCAATCCTCTTTGCTTCTCCCAGAAGTGCCTAGATTAGTATTGCAGAAGCCCAGTGTCGAGATTTCAGGTTTATGTGCTGGTGTCTTTAACTTCATGATGTTTTAGGTGTGCTGCCTGCCTGCGGCCGCCATACCATCTGCAACCTTTATAGTCCAGCTCAGCTGGGTGCCAGCCTGAGCACAGGGCGGTGGCAGCCACCTCTGCAGGTCGCGTGTTTGGTGCTGAGTGGAAGGGGAGCCCGCGCAGGCTGCAGCCACACGGCTTGGATCTGCTCACCATCGTGTGCCCTCTCTCCCATCTGCTCTTGCCCGGGCCCTGCTCTGTCCATGAGCACAGTTACATTCTTCCCTAATAGCCCTAATTCCGCCCAATAATCTCGGGGGGACTGAAGTGAGGACATACGAGGGTCTTCAGACTAATAGGCCAAGTTGTGCATAGAGTCTGAAATAATGATTTAGTCATTCTCTTTTCTGAACTGTTTGCGTAGAGTTTGTAAACTTTCACTGTAGTGTAGGTCATGCACATGCACAACTACTTTTTTCTTTGGAGTCTCAAGTTCTATATATTGTTCACTTGAATTTTTTGGTTAAATCAGATGAGGTTATATGTGAAAGGCACTGGCCTTGTATCACTGCCACCTAATAATCAGGACATTGCAGTTCGGTGCCTGGTTTAGATTTCCCCTGGAAAACTGATCATATCACCAGTACTAACGTTACTATCTTGTAAGGCTAGGTAATGCTGTTAACTGCCCTCAGCTTCATTTTCAGCCCGTAATAGTCTGTTCTGGAGCCTCACTGGACACTGGTGTGTACCTTCTCACTCTGATGGCATATGAGGAAATTCAGTTTTTGTATGGCAAAATCCAGGAAGAAAGGGAAAACATTAATCAGATGGGTGTAATCTTGAGGGAGCAAGTACTGCATTTTAATTCAGTATTTCCCTTTGATGAAAACTTTAGTGAATGTTATTATGTGGAATTTATATGAAGCCTGGGTTTAGGTAATTAGCTTTAATATTTATACTCTTAGGGAGAAAAAAGAATCATTAGTAAGCATACATAATTAATGAATAAATTATATTTTTTCTTTGTTTTCCTTCAGGTATAAGGAAATGCTAGATCTAGTGATATCACCCAGCCTGACTGTAAATAGAGAGTGCCCTGACAGACTGAAGCTTAACCTTTCTAACATTTATGCCACGGCTCCAGATGACATAGAAGGTAGGCTACCTCTTCTCCTTGCTATTTACTGGCTTTAATGTAGTATGTGTATGTGTATATGTAGCCAAAGGGAACTGGCCCGTACAAGGTGTCTGCTTCTGACAGTTCTAGTGAGCAACTGAGATTTTTGAATATTTTTGCTAGACAGTCCAGTTGTGGCTGAATCCATTAGATCAGTGATTGTTTGAATACAAATGGATAGCTGTTTTACATGCAGACACATATCTCTGCGTGGTAGGTGCATACATATGCTCACATGTGCCTATATAGTTGCTCCACTGGAAAAATTGCAGGTATAAAACATGTTTTGTGTAGAGCTGGTAGCTTTTGTTTGGACCCCACTAGAGCCCCAGTGGTGAGGTGAATGTGAGACCTGGGCTCCTGTGACTGTGCTGCTGCTGTTGGGGTGGGAAGCTTGACGGCTCTTAACACCCAACAACTTGTTGTGCAGCCAGAAAACGTTTCGCTGCAGCAGCTCTGTGCCCCAGTTTGCGCTGCTCTGAGATCATTGCTGTCATCTCCAAACGGTTAGCCCTGCTGGCCTCTGGGCTAAAGTTGGGCAGGTACCAAGGACAAATTCTTGCAGTGGTTGAAGCTCTGGTGGAAACTTATCTGCTCTTCTCCTCCTCCTTCCCTCCCATCAAACTGTTCATGTGAAGGAAACAGAAGAATGTTAAATCTGCTAAAAAAATTATTGGCAAGTGATGCAGCTGAACTAGTTCTTGCTAGTACAATCCCAGCTATTGTTTGCTGCGGTCAGGATCTGTCAGCCTTCCTGTTAGAGGAGAGTTAGGAAAAGGCACTGGCTATTATATTTTAGTGGTATGTTTAACCCTTCCTTTAGAGGCTCTTAGAAGCCAAGGAGGTGTTTTTCTTGCATGTTTACTAAGGCATTAGAAATTGCGTGATTAAATCACATACGTCACGACTGCCTATTTACAAGAGCAGTTGAAAGGATAACGATCTAAAGGAAACATCCTTTTGAATGTACATGTTTGCAGAAAAGACTAGGGCTAGAAATGATTTTTAAATATCTCATTTTGTAAACTTGGTGCAGGAACTATTTGCTATTGCAATGTAAAGAAGAGCCAACATAGCAGTTGCACTGTTGGATGCCAGTTTGCTAGTGGAAATTCATGTTGATGCATTTCTTATAGAAATATTAGGATTCTTGTTCTACAGAATGATCCTCTGTGCTACCAAGATTATGCTCTTTTCCTTGAAAATACTTCTTGTTAATTGGAAGGACAGGAAAATACTTGTGTGTTTGTCAAGACTCAGTCTGCCAGAGCTTTTAATGCTATAAATGCACACAAACATATGATCCATATCACACAAACGATTTTAATTTTACAATAATTAGCTATGTAGATGTCCGCATAGCAGATGTCTGGCCTGCTATTTCCTTCGGTGCTTATCACGAGGTGTGCGGTTATATGAATACAATTTTCAAGTGCACATTTTGCCTGTCACCCACACTTTTTGGTTAGAAACACATGTAGGTTTAACTTGCCTTATTTTTGACAATGAGAGTAGCATACTGCATATTCACACGCAGTAAATTCCCACTCGGTATTCTTGGCAAATGTATTTACTCTGTACTTTCCTCTTTCAAAAAAAAAAAGAAATTGAAGATATAGTATTTTTCAAATAGAAAAGGAATTAAGTTTGTGGTCAAACTGTCTGTTCTGTTTTTCAAATGTAGTAGGCATTATGAATCGAATGAAAACTAAAAAAGTGTATTTCTTCAGTGCAGTTCTGTTTGATAATGAATAACAGTGTGACTGAAATGGTATAGTATTTGTTTTCACAATCTAAAAATCTAATTTTCTAAACTGTTTTCTTTCAGGTAAGCCAAAGCAAATTTTTCATAATGAGTTTGAAGGTGAGTCAGGTAAGCCCACCTTTGGATTTAGAAACACTCTTTTTTTCTTTATTGTATTTGTAAATGAGTATGTACTCCCCTTTGTCAAGTTATTTTTTGGTTGCTTTTTTGCTAAACCTCTCCGTTGCTTGGGAGATAGAACCCTTTCCACCCAGTATGTGCACCTGCAGTTGAGAGATCATCTCCTGCCTGAGTTTGGGTGCTATTTCCCATGCCATGGAACAGATGACACTACAGATGCCAGCAGCCAGTGTTGAGGGTGGTGGTGCTGCCGTCAGGGGACAGGCAACACGATGCTCGATGTTTCCCTGTGTGGAGAAGCTGTTTGCCGTTAGTCTGGTGTGTTCATTGATGCAGCCAGCAGATAGAGACTGAATCTGTTGTGCCTAATGTCGTTATTGATGATTATGAGGGTGTTTTGGCATTATAGTGCTGGAATAACATCTAACAGCTCCAGCCAGGAACCGATAAATTTTGGATGGCATTATGGAGGCAACCAGCATAACACTCATGGTGGCATTTATGTATAATGTTTCCAGTAAAGCTTGCAGGCAACTTGCAGGTTTTAATATGGATTTTTTAAAATTTTAATTAATGAAACATAATTTATCTCTAAATAAAGATATGGCACGTTTTCCTTCAGTAGTGTTGCAGGACACAGCTGTTTGGTACATCGGAAGGCATCCTGCACATATAAGATATTGTGATACATTTTCTACTGAATTAATGTTTTGGTTACTGGCAGGTTAATAAGGTAGGTTTAGTTAAATCAAAACATTCAAGACTAAGGAGATTTGCAGTGTTGTATTTTTAATATTTATTTTGATTTGATATATTTTAATGAACATTGAAGAAAGTGAGTCCTAGTCTAGGACAGTACAAAAAAAAGTGGAAGAGCAAAAAGTGCAATGAGCTTAAATCACTTCAGTAACCGTGGTAGTTGCTTTGCTAGCCTTTAGCATACCACCAAAGCCCAACTGCATGACTGGTATCAGTCCCATGAGAAGAAGAAATCGGTAGCTAAATAGATCAGTATCATCCTCAGTCAAAACCTAAAACTATATTTGTTGTTGAGTGGAGAATAACTTTCTTACCTACTTTACTTTGTGGAGATTCACTAAAACCAAAGTCTTCTAATTCCTGTATATTTTTCTCAAACCAGCAGTGGAAAAAACGGTGGTATCAGCTTGGCCATAGAACGGAACGTGATGAAAATCTAAGACCCTTTAATTTTGTTTTCCAGGCAGCAGCAAAGCAGCACCACAGTGTCCTCTCCATCTGTACTCCACAAAGTGAGTGCTCATGCCAAGTGCTGTAATTTAAAAAACGTGTTTTGCTGAACAGCCATTTCGTGCAGACTTCTGTCACCTTAAAAAGCATTTGCCTTAAGCCCATCCACCTGTTCCCCTGCACGTCTCTGGCCCAGTGTAGTAACTGGTTCTTAATCTTGTTAGATATGGAGCAAAAGAAGGTTTGAGATACTGTGCACTGTACTTTCCTAGCCCTGGGAATCCAAACCTTATCAATTTGAATATTGTTGTGTTTATGAGTAACCACAGAGGAATATGTTGAAATGTCAGAAGTTTCCCATGACACTTGCTTGTTTGGCAAACTCAGAATGAAACATGAAAAATCGGAGGCTGATTTGATTTGATTTTTCTAACTTGCACATATTTTGCACAGTCTTAAAGTCCCCATGCGTCCAGGTAGCTTAATCTATTAGCTCATACCAGGAGCTATATACTGAAATAAACTTTTATCCCAGTCTAGTCAATTCTGAGTTTCCAAAACACCATCGTACTTTGCATTTTATTGTATCGAAATTTCTAGAAGTGTGTTCTGGAAGATCATGTTATGGAAAATCATGTACAGTGACTATTGCCTTAGATTTTTCTGTTTTCTTGTTCTGAATAGACATTATCCCCATATAGTGACAGTCCCATCTTTCCCAGCAATGGCAACATACGGACAGGCTCAGTACAGCACGGGAATCCAGCAGGCTGCTGCATACACTGCCTATCCTCCTCCAGGGCAGCCCTACGGCATACCCTCCTACAGTGAGTACTCCGATGTCATGTTACCTTTAAGGACACCGACCACTTGCCCCTAGAATAATGTATTTGAAGTCTTAAGCTTTAGAATGAAATGCCACTTCTCTCTTGGCAATGTTCTCTTAGGCTTAGAGGAAAAGCTGACTTGGTTAAAAATGTTAGGATTACTTGGAACTATCTATCGGCTCTTGATATCCTGGGTTGTAATTTTTAAAACTAGGTAAGTTTGGAGCCACTCAGTAGTAGGACATGAGACAGAATGAGAAACTAGCATTCAGTAGGATGTGCCACTTAGGAGTAGTAGCTGGTGAGTGTTCCCGTGACTCACTGCCAAGACAGTCTCTTGCAGTAAATATTTAGGTAAACTACACTTTGCCTTCCTTGGCTCTTGCTGGAGATTCAAAGATACAAGCTACTTAAAGAAAAAAATTATATTTTATTACAGAAGAACCAAGACACAGAGAAGAGTAAGGTGTGGGTGAAATGATAGAGTATTTCAGTTTTGGAAGGTTGTTCATATTTAAATGGATGCTTGTTAGCTCTAGGTGCAGTGAACATTTCTAACCCCAGTCGCTTCATTCCCTACTTTCCTGCACAACCTTGTCAGCAGCTGTGGGGAGCCAGTGCTGGGCAGGAGCAGCTGAGGGATTCAAGCAGGGAACTAATTAAACAAGCACTCCTGATTGAGGAATGCCTGGTAAACCCAGAGTTATGAGTATCCCCAAGCTCTGCATGGAAATACCAAGCTCTTGAGGGAGCTGAGACGTTCTTTCCACTTCTAAAGATGAAAGAGAGATTGCTCTTGCTTAAGTACAACTCTTTAACGGAAATCTTTGGGCTCCCTGTTCCCAGCTGATCCCTGCCAGTGCTGAGTCTTGCAGCATTAAAATGGCTTCATAGTTCTGTTTCCACTCCTGTTTTCTCTTGTGGTCTTAAACACGTTCATTTGGTTGAACATACAGTGTCTCTTCCCAATATGAAGCTGTTATACAGCCATTGACGAGGCTTTTACTGATGGGAAATTTAATGCAATGGTCTGGAAGGACAGGGAAATGGGCTTGGCAGAGACGAAGCTCTACCAGGATGATGAGAGGAGTGTTTTGAGACCCTTTCCTGGAGCTACTTGCGTGTTTGCATCAACTGGCTGATTTCCAAGGCAAACTCTGAACAGTTGTCCTGTTGGAGCAGGTGAAAGTAGAGCCATTTGCTACTGCCTAGAGTCTTTAGGGCATACATGTGTCAGGCCCATATGCCGCTTATAAATCCTGCGGATGACCTCTTAGCATCCTCGAGCAGTGATTTCCCTCCCCCAGCCCTTTCTGAGATACTCAATACAGCATATGAAAAACTCCACCTGGCTGACAACCAAGAACAATGAAGCAGTATTGTTTTAAGGCAGAAAAATAAAACTCATCCAGTTTCTAGACAAAACAGAACATTGTGTGGAAATTAATTTGGTGCTAAGTTATTTCGCTGTCTGACAACAATTTTTAGACTTCCAAAAAGGCCCATTCGCTGAAGATTAATTGTAGCTGGGGTAGGATGAATGCTTGCCTGGAGTGCTGATGTAATTGAAAAGCATGGGATGTTATGAAAAGCGGCTTCTCTGTGCACACTTGCAAATACCTTTGCTTGCCCAGCAGTAATGGAGCCGGACGCTTGCACCAACACATGTTCATTCACTGTCCAAATAAACTTCCTGTGGTTCACAGTGTGGCTTTGTCATCTTGTTGCTAACTTGTACTCAAAGTGCATTGCAGCTATTCTCACCTAAAGCTAAGAGAAGTGATTTTTATTAGAGAAAACATTGTCTGGGATAACTTATTCCCAACCTGAGCAAATGCAGACTTGTTGCTTTTAAGAGTCATTAAGCTAGAAAACAGCATTTTTGGTGAAAGGCATGTGAATTCAACTTGTCTTTTGTCAACTTTGCCTACAAGTGCTAAAATATGATAACAACCTGGGAAGTGTGTAAATCCAAGGCCAGAACATCAACAGGGTCTTTGTGTAGTCCCAGCACTCCAGGTGTGTCCAATGACCAAGTTTTGTTTTGTGCAAATAGGAGGGAAGGATCACGCCCAAAGGGTTTGTATTAAGATGCACCTTCCAGCTGTTTATTTTAATAATACAGCTGTGCAATCTCAGCGGCATCTCAGAATAAAATATCAAGCCCTTTCATTACCAGCAGAGGTTTCATCTTGCAATGTTTAATTCAGCTATTGCCGTTCCCTTTGTAAATTCTCAGTTTAATTGCCTGATTTTAGTAATGAAATGATTTTTGTGGCTTCAGGGCTTACCTGTTGTTCCTGAACTGTATGTTATAGCTAACTGAATAGATAGATAATAACCCTCTTGTATGATTTGCCAATAAATATTTTGCTACCAAAGCTGAAAATATAATCCAAGTAAAAGATAACCCAGTTGAGAATAGAAGTCTTGAGGTTATTTTACTAAAGGTTCCCTTGCTTTGTTAATCATTGCTTGCATCTGATAACCATTCGGAAAGTTCAAGTTTGCTTAATTCTAAAACCAAGGTTTTTGTTCGGAAATTGGTTTTGAAAACCATATTATTCATGGTCATTTACCCATCTTAGCAGAAGTTCATTTGGGTGTCAATATCAGATGTAGCTGACTCAAATATTGTTTCATTTAACTTGATTCTCTTACTTGAGAGACCTGTTTGGGTAATGCAGATAATTTAAAAAAAACACATATAAGAAAGCATAGGAAAAAAAGTTTATGATGTCAAAATCTAGCTGAAAATCTGTTAGCTCCTAAACTTGGTTTTTGCAGCTTTACATGACAAACACTCATATTCTGCTCTTGGTTCCTACCATATGCTCCAAAGGCATCAAAACAGAGGACAGCCTGAGCCATTCCCCAGGACAGAGTGGGTTTCTTAGCTATGGGTCCAGCTTCAGTACCCCGACTGCCGGGCAAGCACCGTACACGTACCAGATGCACGGTGAGTACAGCTTGGTGCCTTCCAGGGTGCGCTATAGGTCAGAATCCTACACCCCCATATTAGACCAATTTTCCTTTTGCAATTACAATGAAAAGCTTGGGTGTAGGCACGTGGGATGGGGAAGGAGGTAAGTCTTCATAGATCTGTTTTGCTCATCAAGGCATTGTTTTCTGGCTGAGGTACTGGATTTAGCAGTAGTATACCCTAGCAAAACTTCACAGATGATCAATATAATGTTTTCTTCTCCTTTTTAAAATTAATTTTGTGACTGCATATCTGGGCTGTTGTGTTAATGTGAATTCAAGTGGAAGTAAAACAAATGTGTTTTGCACTTCATGCAAACGGTACTGTTAGAATTATGCTTCTGCCTTACGCTGTCCTGAGCAAACTACTCCGTGGTTAAACTGCTGTGTATTCTTTCTACTATTTTTTTTGAAAAGTTGATACCTTGATACTAAAACCAAAATTTTTACTGTGAAAACATAAGTGATACCTGCTGAGATACGTCGGCCTGCTTTAACTCCCAAAGTACCGACATCATCAATTACCTACTGACTACTGAGGTAAGGTTCAGAAGAGCAGAGATGAAAGCAGCTCTTTTTGCCTCAAGGTTACTGAGCTAGGATTTAGTAAGTTTAGAATAACTCATTTGTTGTTGTCAGGATAATAATTGATTATAAAATAATCGGTTGGATTCCCTTAAGGTTTCAAAGACAGTGCCTTGTGCTTGTAGCTTTATAACAGTTTGTTTTGTTGTACAATCAGGAAGGCCAAAATTACTTTTATTTCTAAAAATAAGACTCATCTGGTCATTCAATTGTGAAGCTGTGTGAAGCACCAACTCTTGGGAGATTGAATGTTGACTTGCCAACTCCAAGAAAGCACAAGAGGGTTTGAATCTGAGCTGCCAAGGAATGTCAAGTAAATGAAAATGCTGGAATTTAATTTGCGATGCCCAGTAGACAACTTCTAGCATGGTATTTGACTTCTTTGAGCATTTTAGTGTTGCTGGTCAGAAACCTGAACTGCGTATGGCAAGTTTTCATTATCTGGCTGGTATTTCTTGTGGTTTTTTCCTCTGGTGTATGCTTTCCTGATCTTTGTGAATTATGTTGATTTTTAAAAATATTTATTTATTCATTTTCCTGGGACTTGCTGAGTCATTAAGCATGAATTGGTGGAGGAGTACTAAAAATTGGATATACTTTTGGGGATGTACTCTGTGTAATCTGATCTTAAAAAACACCTGACCGGGCAATCCTGCAAAGAATGATGATAGATTCTAGACAATAGCAGACGAGAGGAACTGTAGCATAACCATTTCAGCTTTAGTAATCATTCTGTATACAAGAAGAATAAGGAGTATATGCAGAGAAATACATTATGTGCTTAAAATATCACTTCATCTCTGTGCCTCTACCTTGAGTCCCCTGGGAGTACAGTTTCGTTCCTCACCTGTAGGCCTCGGTTCCTACAGGATATCCTATTGTTTCTAAGATGACCACTTTTTTCAATAAAAAGATTTAGACCAGCCGGTTTTGTGCATGAGGGCCCAAAAATGTTACGTCTTCGAACACCAGTGACACAACCGTCTGTTGTACCAAAACGGGCTAGGAGGAACTTTATACATGTATGTATGAGCACTGATGTGCCCAAAGCAGCTTTCAGATAATGTTCCCTTGGGCGATGCTATGGCATTAGGTGAAATCACTTTTCAGATTTTTGTGCCAGGAAGATCATTTTAGCCAGCTCATTAAGCCTATAATGCAAAAGAAGACCAAGGAGAAAAGTTTCTGCAAGTGGCAGGTGCTTACTCCAAGGCAAAGGGAGCAGGAATAAATGTGTCTTCCTGTTGTAAACAAATATTTCCACCCTTCTCCTTGCTCGTGAGAGGAACAGTCTGAAGCTCCCTGGCTGTATAGTTTATTTACCTTGCTGAGTGCTAGTGAAAGGTTTGAGTGAGAAGCCAGGAGCCTTCCTGTGCTGAGTGCTACCAAGGAATGTGTGCTCAGTGCTTTCCCACGCCACAGGACTTGGGGGTGGGGAGGTGATCACTCCATCTCCCTAATGCGAGCAAACAACTCTCCATGCTACCCAGCTCCGGGACCATGGGACTTTTGCCACGTTCACATCAGTCCTTTAGTCACCCTATTGCTGACCTAGGCAGGGACTCTGGGTGATGGGCTAGACCAGCTGAAAAGGGGAAGTTTTTATTATGTATTTTTATAAAATCAGATTTCGGGGGGACTTCAAGAGTCAAGCTCTTAACTTCCACTTCAAGGACAAAATGTTTATTGCATCATGGTGAAAGGGAAATCTTGAAGAGGGTGACGTGCAGGGGATCAGCAAGGAAGGGGATCTCCAGGAGTGTGTGCTGCTCAGTTTTGTAATTTGCAGTATGAGGAAAAACTTATTTTCTTAAACTAATCTAATGGTAATCTTAAACTAATGGTAATAGCTCAAGTTTGGCATTGTTTGCCTCCGTTGAGAACCAGCTCCCAGAGTAATGCAGTGAAATCATGTGCCAGCAGGCATGGGTGGTCCCAGCGTGAACCTTGAGCGGTTTGTGAAGCTTCTGTGATTCCTCCTGATTTATGAGTTACATGGTCCAGCCAACTAATAGGTACCCATCGTAGGTGTGTTACGCCAATAACCAAGGAGCAAGTGACCTCCTGGGTGACAAATACTTTGTCTCAGAGGGCTTTACGACCAGTAGAAGTGCCAATGTAGTTGGCGCTGGTTTGTTTCCACTCATGCTTCTTTGGTAGCAGCACTGACTCTGGCTGGGATGCATGTGGCAAGTTGCAGCCTCGTCTCCCGGATGACTGTTGTTGGTAACATGGTACCGCTGAGGCCAGATTGCTCTCTGAAGTCTGTTCATTTTCATTACAAACACAGATGATGCAGGTGTAATGGGAGAAGAATTCAGCTTTTCATCATCAACTCCAATTATCCAGCTGTATCCTGTGAGATGCAGAATCCACTAAAAAGCAAGAATGTGGATACACAAATCTTTTTGTCATTAAGTGGTAAACAAAAAAAATATTTTACAGCCAACCAGAAGGAGAAATCTAGCATGAAAGTAAATTGAATGTGGGAGGGTTTATTAGCTAAATAGCTAATGCAATGTATCACACACATATATGAATATAAAAAGGGAGAATGACAAGTTCCATAGCTCAGAAAGATGACATGAATCTATATCACAAAGGTCCTGTAGATTGAAATAATGCTTCTAATTGCCAAGTAACAGTTGATACGATAGTATATCATCAGACTTTAAGTAATGTTCTTTCCTACTTTGGGGAGGAAGAGGCATTAGAGTGCATCTGTCAGCATTTAGTGGCTGGCCCAGCCCTAACCCTTGACGCTTTCAAATAGACTGAAATCTGGTATTCACTTATTTACTCTGAAGGAGTGACTTTATCACCTTTTTCTTTTTATACCAGTGCTATATACAGTGACGTTTCATATTGTTACTGTACTTACAAAATCAAATTGTTTCACAATGAAGCAGAGATATTTGAAATACATCTGGCAATGCCACTCATTTTTAGTCATTAATTGGAAGAAGAGGGAACAGCTTGCATTAAATTTTTGTCTTTAAAGTGATAATTTTGTGAGGCTGGTAGATAAATGTTGCTTCAAGGTCTGTATCATTTCTTAATCAGTCCTCATCTAAGTGTACAATTACAGCACCAAATCACTGAACAACACCCGTGGATAGGTATTGAAAGTATATTGTGCTTTTTTTAGCACACATTTATTTACGCTTGTATTTTCTGACAATTTAAAGAGTTCAGTGATTTGTTCAGACTTTTAGAAAATTTATTAATCAGTGATAGAAAAATATTATATTCAACTTCTGTCCCAAAGAGCTTACTGTCTTAACTGGCAATTAAGGAAACTGCTTGTTGTCACTGAGGTGGGGGAGAAATCTTTGATTTTTAAGAAACTTATCATTTAATGAGCTGTGTAAAATACAAAGAGGAAACCGTGCCAGCACGTTAGCTAACATGAAAAGCCATCAGCTATGCAGAGAGCGCAGTAGCCGCCAACTCAGAGAGCATTTCCTGCGGCTGCATGAGCCTGTGTTACCCCTTTATGGCACATCAGGCCATCTCTTCTCAGCTTGTCATTAATTCCTAGACAATGCCTTGCTCTTCAGTTATTATTGCTAAAATGACAGCTGGTATGAAACTATGAAGTTGCACAACAGTTCAAACTGGCCAGAGACCACGATGGATACTGTCGTTGGGCAGGAAAAGACCTGACCACTTATTTTTTTCTTTAATATCCAAATCTATCTACCCACAAAATACTTTTTACATTACAAAGGAAAATTCAGTTATGTAACTGGGATAACTTTTTTTTGCCAAGGAGTTGCAAAGCAGTATTGAGTTCGGTACAAACATAAATTTGGGGCCAAAGACCTACGCACTGAAATTCTTTGCTACTGCTGAGCATTTGTTTTCTTTGTAGAGTCCATTCTGATCAGCTGTCAAGTAATGAATGAATAGAAAGCAGCATTTCTTTTGTGCAATGCTGATTTGAAATGGACTAATTATATATGTTGCTTAAGTTTGTGGAATGAATTGCCAATGAATTGTTCTCCTGGCTTGAGACCAAGTAAAATCTGAATATTTAATCAACTGAAATGTTTGCTGGAAACATCTTGGCTCTTGTTACTATATGGATAATCAAGACTTTTTTATTTTTTCCAAGAGCTGTCTGAATTTCTTGCAATTGTATGCCAGTTTGTGTGTTACATATTTAATATGAGGCCATAAATATCTATTTGGCATGAATACTTAGCTCTGCATGCATGGATTTTGCAAAGGAAGTGGCATGTTTAATTTTAAGCTTGATTCTTTAAGTACTTAGTGATGACGTGTGAGAAGGGGAAATTTCAATCTACACTTCAGAAAAGTAGCTTGCACTTCAGCATACAGATAGTGAATCCATCTGAAGCCTCAGAAAATAAAGGAGAAGCAAGAGCA